TGTCGACATCGAAGCAGGGCAGCAGAAGCAGCAGTGGGAGCAGAAGCATGAGCAAGGACTCTTGAAGGTTGGTGCGTAGCAATACACAGATTATAAGTAGGGTAACTATACATAAAACCCATACTCAGGGACTTATAACCCCACTTATAACTACCCATGAACCTCAAAGCAGTGCTCGAATTGTCCAAGGCACTTTGTCCCCCAGCACCATATTCACAAGTTTTGCTTCAGCGGTCATGGGCTTCGTGACCGTCACGTTCATCCACTGACGATACCTTGCAATGTTGCAAGGCGGGGTTTCTGCGGCGGCGTTGGGTTGGGATTTGGTATTTTGAGGCTTGGAGGTTTTGTGCTTTGACGCTTCGAAGGAATTGGGCTACAACTTAAACTCTAAATACATCCGCAACGCCTCATGACCCCTTGCAAGGACGACAAGCACAAAGCACCCCTCATCGGGCTATGGATTATAGGGTATACTTGAAGGCTCATGGGACTTAGTAAGTAAGGTTATAAGTAGGTTATAATTAGGATAACCCCACTTAGGGGACTTATAACCCCAATGATAACCTACTAAGTCCCATGATCCTCTAAGTAGCCTTTAATCTTAGGGCTTCGGGTTTGGGGTTGCGGGTTTAGAGATAATCACACGTATTAGAGGAGAAAGAAAGACAGATAGTAGATGGGAGTTTCCGAAGATTAGGGGCACCTTATTCTGGGGTCCTTATAATAAGGATCCTACTATTTAGGGTACTAGTCTAGGGTCCCCTATTTTCGTAAACTCCCAGATGAGAAAAGTTCAAAACCAACCGACAGCGAGGGCACTACCTCTTGGCGAGGCCTCTCTGACGGAGCGTCATGTAAGGATGAAGAGAAGTTGAAGGTCTCCAAAAAAGAAGCCCTCACGGAGCCCATGACGAAAAGCACCCTGGGCTCACAACCGCTCAAAGTGTGAGGATCGAAGCATATCGGAGGTGCGATTGATGCTGGAGGTATGGGACGAATCGTTGGATGAAAGGCGCACAAGTCGAAGACAACAGATGCATCAACACGCAACCCTGAACCCTACACCCTAAACCCAACACGCAAAGAGAGACAAAAAGCAAACCCAACTCTGTCACCGTCTGCTGGTCCGGGGCACGACGTTCCGTAAACCTCGGTTGACGGCAAAGCTCCCAGTCTTTCTTAAAGGCCCAATATTGCTGTAAACAGTGAGCTCGTCTAAACCGACATCCTAAGCCCGACCTTGCCTTAAAAACAAGCCTAAAGGCATCAGAATAGGGTTTTGAGGTATACAAGACTACAATGATGGTACGGACGGGACGACCAGGTAGTACGATTACCAACTATTCAGGCTTTAAAAAATCAACCCTGAACCACTGGCCTGAGCGAAAGTGGCAACCCCTAAACCCTCAACCAGCCCAAAAAGTTTCAGATTCGGATCCTGAAGACCCCGGAGACTCCACCAGTTAAACTAAGGGATGTAGCTTAGACTTGCTTCTAGGAGCCTTCATAATCAGAGTAAGTTTGCGATAAGGGCTACTATGATGGCTCCTGGTTTAGTATAGAGGCCTTCATAATTTTAATTCGGCTTTTGGTGGATATTCTACTATAGATATCATAAGGAACCCAATGGAATAAGGTTCGTTATTGGTCAGGCCCCTGTTTTACTTGGCCAAATGCCTGGCAATAATCCTAAGAAAAACACTGCCAACTAGGCCAAACCCTAAACCCTAAATCCCAAACCCTACATTGGGAAACCTAAACTCAAACGAGCTAAGCTATGATCTACTTCGTAATTTTAGTCGAACTGCAAAATCCTTTTGTCTACAAAGCTGAATGTCCGTCATCGGAAACCCCAAATCTCCAGCCGCCAATTTGAGTCGGAGGCTCGTACATGGCGTAGAAGTGGTCGCCATTCTCCAAAGTTTCGAAGGGTCGGTGCCAGTCGGGGAAGCACCAGGCAGCTTTGTTCGAGGAGTGCATACGGAATTCCTTGGGAACCACCTTGGGCCGAGGCACTAATCACTAATAAAAACTTTCAACAGCTAAGCTCGGGTTTTAAGGTATTTCATAGCAGACTATACTTGGACGACAACGGGGATACAACAGTTCATGGGCTTTGGTGTGTACGGTTTCGGAGTCCTTACCTTTAGAACCGGGCAATGACGAGCTTGCAACGGCCCCTTAAACCGGAAAGCCGAGACCGCCACGAACCTCAATCGACACAGACCCCTGCATAACTTCACCCTGTACCTTGAACCCTCAACCTCAAACCGTTCAGGAAGAAGGGGTACTGCATTCGATCCTCCTCGTGCCCAAAACCCTACAAACTCGCAGTCCTGAACTCGAACGTGCAACCCCGGCACGCCAAGTGACGTGGGGATCTTTATAGTTCGAACACACTGAAGTTACAATACGGTTTAGGGTTTGGGGTGTAGGGTTTAAGGGTTAGGGTTTCGTCCAACAAAATAAACCAACACTATGGGTTCTTACGAAAAAAGGCCTCCAAAGAGGACCCCTCATTTTGAAAAAACAATCTTCATGCCTCAAAACCCTGAATCATTACATCCTGCATCGTAAATCCTAACCCCAAACCCTGAACTCTAAACTTGAGACCCCTAAACCCTAAAACCCTACACCCTGAACCCAAGCCTTAAACCCAAAGTGAACCAAGACGCCGGATCAGTTGACTCCGCCTGCACGAGCTGTGCATCGGAGTTTGCGCACCCTGAACCTTAAACCCTAAAACCTAAACCCTAAACCCAAAACCTTGAACCCTAAACCTTAAACCCTGAACCCTAAACCTTTGAGCCTAAACCTTAAATCCGAAACCTTCAATCTTCGACCATAACCTTAAACCCAAGCCTTAAACCTTGAGCCCTAAATCTTAAACCCGAAACCTCAAATCTGATACCCGCCAAACCGGCAAGATTCGAGCACTTCGTCTTGGGGGAGAGGGAGAGGGAGAGGGAGAGAGAGAGAGAGAGAGGGAGGGAGTCAGAGAAAGCAAAGAAGCATGCATATGTTTATATATATATATACATATATATACATATTCATTTATTTATTACTTTGCTTACTTATACGTATATGTATACTTTTTTTATATATACCGTATGAAACACAATGTACTTGTAGCCTTCACGGTTTCGGGTGCTGCAGGTCTAACCTGGGGTGGGCCACAGCCTGGCTCAACCTGTATAGATCGGGGAGTCTGTGTAGGGGTTTAGGGTTTGAGGTTTAGAGATAAAACATCCAATAAAAATCTCCTCGAAGACACAGACACAGAACCTCGGTGCCATCCCGCATAGACATTATTCGGCAACCCCAAACCCCAAAGTCCAAACCAAAAAAACCCAAATCGAAACCATAAAGCCAAAGCGCCCACCTGCACGCGCCCGCACGCATGCTCACTTTGTACGAACTTCTGCAGCAAAGCTTGAGGTGGGTTCCAAAAAATAATTTTGTCATTTATTTGACATTTTTTCGTAATTTGCCCTTGTCATTTCTTGTCATTGGGATTGTATTTGTTTGTCATTCTGGATGTGGTTAACGTTAACACTGTCGTCATTTTGGTGTCATTTGTTTGTCATTTTGGTGTCGTTTTTGTGTCATTTTGGTGGGGCGCGGAGGGAGGGAGGGAGGGAGGGGAGGGAGGGCCGGGCAGGGCGCCAAACCGAAATTTGCACATTTCCCGAGGCATTGTCATTTTGGTGTCGTTTTTTGTCATTATGGAATCATTTTTTGTCATTCAGGTTTTTTTTTTGTCCAAAGGAGGCGTTTTTGTTGGCATTGGTGTCGTTCCTTGTAATTTTGGTGGGGCGCGGAGGGAGGGAAGAAGGGTGGGGCAAAACACCAAACCGAAATTTGCACATTTCCCGAGGCATTGTCAGTTTTTTGTCATTTTAGTGGGGCGCGGAGGGAAGGAGGCGTTGCGGGTCGCAAAACCGAAATTTGCACATTTCCCGGGGCATTGCCATTTTTTGTTACGCTGGTGTCGTTTTTGTGTCATGTTGGTGGTGTGCGGAGGGAGGGAGGGCGGGGCAAAGCGCCAAACCGAAATTTGCACATTTCCCGAGGCATTGTCATTTTTGTCATGTTGATACAATTTTTGTTTGTCATTTCCGTGGGCATGGGGCGCGGAGGGAGGAAGGCGAACGACAGAAACGACTAAACAATGACAAACGGAAAACCGCCAAATGACAGTTAAATGACAGAGTAATTATTTGATGTAATCCAAGGTCTAGAAGTTAGAAATTCTTACAACACTCACTCACTCACTCACTCTCAAGTGAGAATGACTGGCTTCCGTCGGGGATGCAGCAACCATGCTGCTATTTGCCGACAAGCGTCATCCTCGAAGAACAAGACGGTGATTGGTGTTTCACAGGATTACGGATTGCAGTGAGGGGACGGGCAACAGGTCCTCATTCGCTTTGATGATCCGTATCCTGAGTTGGCTACACGAAGGTTTCCACGGGCCTGTGTGCACAGCATACTTCACGCTGCCATTTAATTCGCGGAGCCCGCGTGTGGAACTATGGCACCGACATTCCTGCGGGGTTGCAAGGTGGAACCTGCCTTCGCTAATTGCCAGCGGGAAGCAACTTTGCAATTTCAATCTGCGTACAGACGCGCGAGCTTGCGACGCTTAGAGCACACGCGGCCACACGCTTCGCATAGGGCCTGCATTGATGGTGACGGCATCACCCCACTCATTGCTCGTTGCTGTCCGCCATCCTTCGATCCCTGCTGCCCGGCCCGAAACTTGCGCGAAACCTCATGTTGCTGTTCAATAACAATGCTGTTTCCACCGGCAGCACTCGTGTCCTGAGGATGTGCTCCGAGACATCACCGCGGACCAGGGCCGCAAACCTTGAGCAACGCAAGTTGAAACACGCCCACTTTAAACGTTAACATCGGCAAACAAACCAGTTCTTCATGAAACGTCTTGTGGAAGCTGAGGGGCTCCTCCTGGTGAGAGGTGATGAAGCGCAAAGTCACGCATTAGTTGCGCCGTGCCCCCGCAGCCGTGGCCCACGGCCGCAAACTGGCAGGCACCGTCGAAAGGGACTGCCTGGTTTTCGTGGGATCGCTTAGGGAAGTGCGTTTCTGACTCTTGGCTTTGACACTGGCCAGGCTGTGTGTGGCCCCTTGCATGCTATGACTCTCAACATACACGGTATTCAACTTTGTAGGACCTGCCCAGATCCACAAGAGAAGCTCTCGATAACATTTTCTGCATCATACCATAGCCCAGCAGCCAAGCGGTGTAGGCCAAGGGCATTGAGCCGCTGCCTTGGTTTTGCGCCACGGTCAATTGGCACAAACCTGTCTCAGTAAGTTTGAATAGAATAGAACGACATCACCGCTGACCAGAGGCGCCAACCTCGAGCAACGCAATTTGAAACACGCCCGCTTTAAACGTTGAACAACACCGGAAAAACAACCAGTTCTTCATGAAACGTCTTGTGGAATCTGACGCCCAGCCACAACGCTCAGCGGACAGCTACATCAGTGAAAAGCACGAAACCGCACCTCCATCGACTCCATCGACGCTGTGCATGTCGGCACTGTGCTTTTTTCACGTGTTTTAAAGTCTGCGGCACATTCGCCAACCCTCCATCTTCGCTCTCTTTTCTGCTTACATGTCTGTCGAGTAACTCTTTGCACTAAGCTTTGGCAGACAATCACACCACAAGGATGCCTTTCAATGCTTATAAAAACTACAGCCTGTGTGCGCATGTTGATGCATCACGCTTTATAGAGGGTACTGGTCGCCTCGAGACGCCATCTTATTACGGTGCAGGCTTCCTTCGTCCTTGTTCGCCGCACAAGTGCATGTGCTCGAAACCTGACAAAGACAAATACGGTCTGCATACACTCCCTGCCGGAGGGCTCACAGGGAAAGTCACACACCCAAACTCCTCATGCCCCATGACCCTAGTGCTTACACAGAGCTTGAGCTTCAGCAACATCCATCGACATCATTTCCCGCAGCCCTGCAGCCTGCCTATATAGACACAGAACCGGATTGCCATCCCACATAAACATGACCGCTGCCGCGCATCAACCCCAAACCCCAAGGCCTAAACCCGGAACCCCAAACCCCAAACCCTAAACCCTAAAGCCAAAAGCCCCAAACCCCAAACAAACTCTAAACCCTAAAGCCAAAAACCCCAAACCCCAACCAAACTCTAAACCCTAAAGCCCAAACCCCAAACCCCAAACTCTAAACCCTAAAGCCAAAAGGCCTCCCAGTAGCTCCACACATCATCGTTGAAGATCGGCACACCGTCGGCTGTGAAGGTTTGGCTCTCGAATTTGTAGTACCGCAAATACTTCCTCGCAGCGAAAACCAGGATCTAGGCATTTAGGTTTAGCGAGACCTCTTGAGGATGTAAGGACTGAGGGATTGGATAATAAAAACACCCATAAACAAACTCCCTATATACATCCAAACTCTAGCCTAGAGCTCTGGACTTCAATCCGGCAGACTCGCAACCGAACTTGTCATCAAGGCAGGGGCTGCCCGAACTAGATGGGAGTTTCCGAAAATAGGGGCACCCTATTTTGGGGTCCTTATAATAAGGACCCTACTTTTTAGGGTACTATACTATAATAGGGTCCCCTATTTTCGGAAACTCCCAGATTGGGACTTGCAGAAGCGGCCCTCTGACCACGGTGTGAGGGTTTAGGGACCAGGGTTGTTCTATATATACAAGGTGAGGGTCTGGCAAGACCCCTATAGTCATAGGGGTCTTGGTTTCGCTTTTATACCACCTAAACTCTGACACATCGTCCCTTCACAGGCACGAGCAATCGTTGCAATCTTTCTCTGATCCTAAACCCGGAACCCTTTCAACCCCGATTGCTTCCTAAGCCCCAAACTCCAACAGATCATCAAAGCGGCGCGTGCTCACCGCACATGTACAGGCGCCCATCCGGCGTCGAGGCATGACACTCCTCAGATGAAGCTGAAGGCTTTACTGAATTCTGGTTGAGGAGTTTACTTCAAATTTACCATAATTACCATAATGATGAAGATTAAGCGTTAAGAACCATAGATCCGTATTATGGTAACTACACTAAGTTCCTCGACAAGAGCCCAGCTTAGGGGCTAAAAGCCCGTTGCAGGCATTGGGTCAGCCCGCGCCTGCAATAGGGCCAAAACCCATTCACCACGACCCGAATAAATCGCGTAGACTAGGGGCACCTGTCCACCCGTATCCGGCATGTTGGCGCACGCACCGTTAGCCAGCAGAAGCAGCACGAGATCATTTTGGAGATTAAGGTTTAAGGCCCTTAGGACTTTTAAGGCCCGGGGTTTCGGGCTTTTGGTTTAGGTTTAGGGTGTGAGCTAAGGGGAGGTCCGGAAGTTGGTTCGGGCCTCAGCATCCTAGGGGTCCGGAGCTTATCGGTTTTAGGGTTTGGGTTTAGGATGCAGGGCTTGAGGAATGCGGGCTTTAGTGTGCTTGATAAGCTTCTTGGTTAGCATGGCGAGGTTCAGCCAGCAACATCACAGCCGCACGGAGAGCAAACACCGACAACGGCAGATTGGCAACAGTGACAATGAATGACGAATGCACTAACGAAAACGTTAGCAATGCAAGCACGCGGACTTTTTTGCACACGCACTTTAGCGTTTAGGGTGTAGGGAATGGCACATGCGGCCCAGAGTCGTTGTGGTCCGTGTACTCCCTCCAGTTGCCATCGTTGGTTGTCCTGCACTCAAAATACTACAGTCTAGGGTTTCGGGTTTAGGGGAGCATCTGAATACTTACTCTTGGAACATAACCCACTGGAGCCCTAAGCCCCAAGCCCACAGCTCAACACCCTTGAACCTGAGCTTTAAATTCAAGTAAAAGCCCTAACCGTCCTTTCAAGAGTCACCAAAGGCCCAGACCCCAAAAGCTCGGTCGGCATATATCCCGCAAGAGCCCTAGGCCTCAGGCATCAATGAAGACCTCGCAAGCCTGAAAACTGAACCGCAAAGAAGGTTTAGGGTTTAGGGTTCAGGAAGACCCTAAACCCTAAACCCTAAACAGCCCCTAACCCTAAGCCCTTAAGTCCTAAACCCTGATCCAAAGACCCTAAATCCTGACCCCTAAACCCTCAAGACCTTGTACCCCAAACTCAAGACCCCGAGTTGAAAGGCTCCAAAAAGGCGGCTCAAACCTTCTGTCTCAAAAGGCTACTGTCGAGGCCTTTACAATTGTTTTTGGCGGAGAGATTTGGGGCTCTTGTGGAGGAGTCTAGGGGGGAAGAGGGGTGGCACTACTACATATGTTGAGTGACAGGCAGTCTGGCGAACTTTCGTCCTGCGGTGGTATTCTGACTACTAAAGCCCAAACCCTGAACCCCAGAGAACAAAGGCTCGGACTCGATCTTCGTGTGCAGGGGTACGCGGAGGTTGGCCAAGTCGTGGCGCCTCGGTCAGGGCTTCAAGGCTCGAGCTTTTTGCTTTCGAGCTTCTGGGGTTTAGGTTTGGGGGGGGGTTTAACACCCTGCAACTGTAGGCCTAAACCCTGAACGCTAAACTCCAAATCCTTCCGGGCTTAGAAGTCTAAGGTTTCCACTAGTTGAAGTGGTCTGTTGCGCTGAGACGCGGAACTTTGGCGCCCGAGGCCGTCAAGTGGTCGTCACTGCGCATGGCATCCACCTGCTTGAAGGCTCATGGGACTTAGTAAGTAAGGTTATAAGTAGGTTATAATTAGGATAACCCCACTTAGGGGGCTTGTAACCCCAATTATAACCTACTTACTAAGTCCCGTGATCCTCTAAGTGGTTGAGGGTTTGGGGCTTCTTGGTCTAGGCTTTTGGGCTTGAGCGTAGAGGGCTTGAAGGTCGAGGGGTTTTGGGCTTCAGGGTTTAGGATGTACAGTTGAGGCTTTAGGGTGCAGAGTTTGCGTGGGTTTCGAAGGTGTTGGGGTTTTGGAGCTTTAGAGCTTCTGGCTACGAATAACAACCGGACATGGCTATGGTCGTTTATAGCGTCTTCATAAGGTTCATGACACGGGCCAGAATAATGAGATTCGGGCTGTGAAAGTATAACTATAGGTGCTGGAAGGGGATACTATTGCCAACCATTGTTAAGATCCGGACCCTCGTATAATCCCCCACATGGAACCCTAAACCTGAAACCGCATCCGGAAGTTTTTGGGCTTAAAGCTCGTGGGCGTTCACTCGGTTTCGGATCTTCCCAAAAAACATGCACAGTCAGCAGCCCGCACTGGTGTTGTTGAGGGTTTAGGGTTTAGGGTTTAGAGTTTACATGAGAGCGGAAGGGTTTCAGACCTAGATTTAAGTTCTTTGCTGGGCCCCAACTGTCCAACTTGGCAGTTCATGTGAGGCCTTCAGCGTTTAGGCTGAAGGGAGCCCATACCTCAAAAGTAGTCCAAACCTCATACAACACTCTGCTGAAGATCGCACACTCTGTCAGAAAGATAGGAGTCAAGCCTGTGCTGGCAACAGCAGAACAGATAGTAAACCATTAACACTGTATAGTACATGTGTGTGTGTATGCTTGTACATACTATATATATATATATATATATGTCGTTATATACATACATATACACACACATAAACTGTATACCTATACCTATATCTCTCCCTATACCAATCCTATACCTATACCTATACCTGTACCTATACCTATACATATACATATACATATCCATATACATATACATATACATATACATATACATATACACATATGTATACATGTGTATATATATATACATATATGTATATATATATATATATATATATGTATACATATACACATACATACATACATACATATATATGCATGTATGTATATATGTATGTATATATGTATGTATGTGTATATATATATATATATACATATATATATATATATGTATCTTCAGGACGCAGCGAACGAGTCGTCGCCTAGCTAGCTAAGGCAGAATCTCATGGTGAGATTCCGGCGCCTCGGTGGGCGCGCACATTTTGTGCCCCCTCAAGTCACACGTAGTCACGAATGACAGTACGTGTGCTTTGTACAACTAAGTCGTCAGTCAAAGCGTGCTCACAATGGCAAGTGAGGCCTCAGTCCATTCGCATTGCCCATAGCAAGTAGGCTTTGCGACTGAGCTCAACAGAGTCTGGCAAAGAGAGGGGCACAGCTGCATGATTGTCGTCATGCAACCAGACTCGCACTGGATTTTGACCCCATCGCGTCAGACAGCGGTAGTGCCCCTGGTGCAAGGCAGGACCGTAGTGGAGAGCCATGGCACACACCTGATAGGGTCTCCAGTGCTTCTGAATGTCATGTGACGTCGCGAATTGCGGAATGCGTATCACTTCAGACCAATCCGGGAGAGCCTGATCATCCTTGCTGAGAATGCCCCTTTCATCATCACGCCTATAGCGCGACAAGTGGAGGCAAATGAGATGAGGCAGGTTGCCATCGAAAGCGGTATGATAATGCTGGGCAGACCACTCTTGTACGCAATGCTGAAGCCCCCGTGCCTCCAGGGGCAGGTCAACAGTGACCGGGAGCAGTGCATTGGAAGATGCACAGATCACAGTGCCCGTGTCCTCCAGTCTGCGAGTTTGCCACAAACCGCTGAAGTCCTCCAATCGAACTCTCGGCATGAGGTGAAGCAGAAATTCGTGCATGTCGTGTTGTTGATTGGGCCTGGCCCAGTTCCCCAGCAACATAGTCCAGCACATGTTGCGCATCAATCGAAGGTCCGACCTCGCAGTTAAGCACTGATATAAGCTGCACAATGATCCAGATCGAGTGGGATCATGGCATCCAAGTGCCCATAGCAGGGCAATAAGAGCTGTGTTCATGTAGCAGGCAGTGCCATCTGCATTGTGGAGGACTGCATGAAGCAAAGGCTGAAAGTGCAAGGGGACTTCTGAGGGCTCAAATGAGGGCGAGGAGCAGGCAGTATCTAAGGGCAGATTCCGGGACACTCTGAGAAAACGACGTATGCCGGAAGAGGCTGAGGTCGAGGCCAATGGAGTGGTTGGTTTCACCAACCTCCGACTGCCTGTTGAATTTGGGCCGCAAGGCCTGACAGGCCGGGGCGGTCCTTCCTCAGGCGCGCTCCGAGAGGGTGGAGGCAACTCTGGTTGAGCAGCATCTGAAAGATTTCCCACATGCGATCCCCCTGTGGTCGAAACCCTAGCTCCAGCTGAAAGTGGATCCATTCGGACTGGGGTTCCTGTGGAAGTCCGCGAAGTGACGCGAATTTCTTCACAGAGTCTGGATTCACAAGGGTGCGAAGCTCTCGGAGGAGTTCGAGGAGGGTCTCGGTGGCAAGTGGACTCGGAGCAGCTTGAAGTTCGAGCTGTCCTTTTTGTGCATTCCACTGCATGTAAGTCCAGCCCTCCTCCTCCTTGTACCACTGCATGTCGATGGCCGCCTGCTTCTCCTTGCTGATGGTGAGCTTGATCCGGGTCTCCATCTCCTGCAAGGTGGCTCGGAGGAGGAGAGTGCGCAGCGGACTGTTGATCTTCCCCGGTTCGTCGCGACGAAGGCGGCTCCATTCCTTTGCAATCTCGCATAGATTGGGAAGAAAGGATTCCTTCCCACTGCGGAGATAAAGATGCAGCTTGCAGTCCTGTTGGATGCTCTGCAGCTGCTGCTCGTGGCGGAGAAGGAGGCGGGCCATTTGACCGGTCAGGTCGCCGGAGGAAGTCCAGGAGTGGCCGCTGGACCAGGACTGATCCGAGCTCCAGTGATCGTTCCACGACTGTTGGGCAGCTGGGCGTGATTTGCCCCCTTTGCCCCGTCCTTTGCCCTTGGGCTGCTTGCCCTTCCCTTTGCCCTTGGGTTCCGAGCTCGTGTTGGCGAACGTCATGGTCGACGCTGAGGCCTGGGAGCCGGACGAGTGGTTCAGGAATAGGGCTTGTTGTGCCTCCGGCTCCCCCCGTCGGCGCTTGAGTTGAGCTGCGTCCATTCCCGCCGGCGGTGTCATGAAGTTCTGGAAGAGGCCCAATTCGCGTTGATCCTCCACTGACATTGGCAGGAGGAAGGGAGTGAACCGGTTGGTCCAGGGCAGTGGAGGCTATGGCAGGGAAGGTGTCGTCCAGCCAGCACTCTAGGAAGCTGAGTAGGGTGATCATGTAACACTGCTTCCAGTGATGTTGAAGATCAATGCGGGATTCTTGGCAGTATAGACATGGTTTGCACAGACTGCGGCGTAGAACTTGAGCCTTCGCCTGTGCAGCCGGGCGGAGAGCTTTCCATTCCGGGTGCGACTGCTGCAAATGCACCTTGAGCCCCGAAGGAGAAGCAGCCCACTGAGAGCACAGCGGGCAGTGGTGCTTCAGTGAGCTCCTGAGATCTGGCTTCGAGAGGAGCGCCTGCCATCCATGACTTCGCAGTTGTGTTTGAAAGGCCGGGGTGTAAGCTAGCGACTGCGAGACTGGCAGAGGGCGAATAGACGACGCATCCTCAGCATCCGCAGTGGTGGCGGCAGCTGTATGCTCTCCCGGAGGAGCAGAAGAGGAAGCCAGGTTCGGGCAAGGGTGCGCAGCAGGGCACTCTTCCGAAAGGGGTGGCTCCAGACCTGGCGTGGACGTAGTAGCTGTGGTGGTGCCGGCCTCCGTGTGCACAGGGACTATGTCAGTGGATGTATGAGGCAGCAATGGCTGGGTCGCAGTGTTCGAAGGCACAGTAGTAATGGGCTCAGGCTCTGGCAAGGCTGAGAAGGACAGGCATCTGCAGTGTCCCTTGTCAATATGGCAGCGAAGTCCACTCCAACGAGAGAAGCGGTGCCCGCAGAGACGACAGGTCGGCATCCCACTAACTGAGTGTTGGTCGCGGTTGAAGCGGCCTGGACGCTCCCGATCTTTGGCCTTACTTGCATGGGTTCGGGAGAGATGTACGCGAAGAAGTCTATGTGATGGCGCTTGGTAAGAGCAGTGGGGACATGACCATCCGTCTTCGTGCATTCCCGATTCCAGAGCGCCCGTGGTTGATGGATTGTCCTGCAGGGCAGAGCTTGTCGAAGGAGCCGTGGGGGCTTCCAACAGTGGCTGAAGGGGGGAGTCGAGCTTCTGAAGGGCTTCATCTATGCGTGTTTGCCACATGCGGTTGAGAAGATGGGCTTCCTCAGGAGGGATGGCGGCCCAGCGGGCTGCTCGGCGGTGAGAGGCCTGTCGCAACGCATCTAACACCAGGGGAACCCGGAGGCGATGATGTAAAGCAAGTGTGGATTCGCCTGTCAGATGTGCCTGGGACTTGGCTACAGCACGCAGCTGTTTTGTCAAGGCTCTCTGGATTTGCACCAGATGTTGCTGTTGCAGCGGAAGACTGTCTAGTGCATAGAGAGCGGTGGGAGGAATACATGCCTGCCAAAGACGAAGTCGCAAGGGGAGAGCAGGCGCCGAGGCTGAGGTAAGGGCAGGTCGAAGTCGGGTCCAGGTCGCCCATGTTTGGCGCAATCTATACGCCACCGTAAGCTGCGTACAGTCCTCCTGATAGGAGATAATGGCTCCCAGATACTTGTGAGTAGTCACTATTGGCATCTTGAAGGTGCCTGGCGCGGGTGTCGAGATGCGTAGGCGCGGGCCCTCCTTGTCAGTGAGAATTTCTCTACGTCGCCATCGACTGGCATAGGAGTGATTGACAGAGAGGAGTATCACGGATTTGTCAATATTGACTTTCATGCG